ATCTAACAAAGGTAAAGGGAAAAAAATAACCATGTTTGCTGTTCATATGTCTTGTAATTGGGATGAAGTAAACATCTGTTGAGTAATTTAACATAAAATTGTTTGATAGTGTTAATTTGGAAAGCCAAAACTCTAGCGGGTCCACCAGACCCATGAACACTGGCTGAGTAACAAAAATACGAACACCACACAAGGGTTAAGCAGCAACTTTTCCAATTTCCAATATTTATGTGATTCTCAAAACCTTTGGCCATGACTGTACTTTAGGACTGTGGTCACCTGTTCTCAGGGTTTTTATAAGTTTTTTTTTTTCTATTAGTTTTTCCCTCCTTTTCTTTAGAATTCTAAACATTTTAAGGGAAGATGTCAGAACTCGCCACTTAGTCTTTCATGAAGGTTTTACTTTGGAAAATACAAATGGTTACATAAGTACTACATGCACATAAGTGACTCACCTTTAAGGTCTTTCCGAAGAAGCTCTACATTACGCCTCTTTGCTGAAACTGCTTTTCTAAGTCCTGGATCAGCGGTGTACGTTTCATCATTGATCTTGATCGTCACCTTTTGTTTCTTCTCTAGCGCCTCCTCCAGTTTGAGGTTGGTGTAAATATCAAACGGCACCATTGAACCACTGCGGCCTATAAACTGCCACTCTACCAGGCTGCTCACTAACAAAGCCTGTCTCTTTGAGTTCTCCGCCCTCTCCACCTTTCGGATGATGTCCCTGATGGTCATCAAATAGAAAAATGTGTTCAGACTTTGCACTGAACATTCTTGAAATACATTTACGTCTCTGTTTGCTGACCTGACTGCAGACTCAGCAGTGAACACGTCTCTGGTCAGACCCTCCAGGTGGATCTCGGGGTCCTGGTCTTCTGCTCCTTTGTCCAGACGGATGCTGACCGTCAGTTCCCTCTGCAGAGCCTTCAGCTCCTCCATGTCAGCCTGTGACAGCTGACTAATGAACGGGTCAGAGATGGTTTTCTGTGCCTGCTCAGCAACAATCAGGTCATTAATCCTTTTCTTGGCTTGACTTAGAGCCTGCAGGGTTGGAGAAATCGTGGTACATTTTAGTTACAGGCATCAACACATTTTGATAAAATAATAATCGCCCATTAAAACATTTACTGGGAAAAAACTAGTCCTGAAAAGCTCCTGATCAACAAGCTTTGAAGTAAATAAATGTGAACTCTGTGAAAAATCTGCAGGAAGCTCCAGAAGACAATTAAAATATGCAGATGAATTATTAACTTAGTCTGATATATGTTTAAATCATACAGCTCGCTGAAGGCTGACGGCAGCCGTCCTTTATGACATGGAAGTGATGTCTGCAGTAAACAGGGGTGAGTCTAAAGGGGGACATGAGGTGTACTTGACCGTATTTGTTTCAAGGCTTTTGTAACATTTTTCAGATTGAAAATGAAATAATATAAAATACTGTGTTAATTAAATTGCATTAATTAAAAAAAATATAAAAACAAAAGCTTTTTTCACAGGGCATCAAAAACATAAATGGGCCATTAAACTCTGAGCTGATGGCCTGAGGGTTTTTAAATATTGCAAGTTCTAAAATAGAAACCAACGAGCAGTTCATTCTTTTTTTTCCCTTTTAAATATTTATTATTGCTCTTTAATAAGACAAATGCATTTCTTATCCGATTTCTTGATTAAGCAATGATCAGTACAACACTTGCTAAAATAATCATTAGCTGCAGTTTAACTTGCACTTCTTTTTATATTGAATGTGCCCTTTCTCTCTAAACTGAGAGAAAGGGCCTGGCCTGTGGCCCACGATGTAAAATGTGCTCCATGGTAAATTTTTTGTAAAGTTTGAATCTGACAGAATCTGAGGGGATTTTTTAAAACCATACAGGCTTTGATTCATTGTGTCTTTTGATTTCGCACAAAAATTTGCAAGTTCAGTTATTTTGTTTGATGTGGGAAGCCTTGCCCTGCAAAATTTTAAATATTGTTGGAATAAAGTATAAAACGTATGTGTACCTTGTTGTCGTCGGCACACAGCTGAAACACTGTGGGCTCAAACTCTTCCCTCTCCAGAACTAAGTCAACAGGGCTGGACTCTTCTGACCCGAATCCCAGAACTGAAGCGACTTGACGAAATTTTGCTGAAACAATAAAACAATAATAAAACTACATGTATACATAATAAAGCCTCATATAGCCTGAACTTTAAAATAAACAACTGATTCAGCTGACCTGATGGGCTGTTTCGCACTCATTTTATAGGTTTATAGGCGCAATCTGTCACCATCACTTTTGGCTACAGTTCTTATCTAATGTGTTTATGTAACCAAGTGCAACCAAAATTTAAAGAAACAAAGAAAAAAATAAAACAGAGTGTTGTGAAATGTAAATAAAAACCAAATGCAATAATTTTCAACTAACAACAGAACATAAACTCCTTAAATATTTAGACTGAGGAAATGTACCACTTTAAGAAAAATATGGGCTAATTTTGATTTTTATGGCAGCAACATGTCTCAAAGTTGGGGTAGGAAGGGGGCAACAAAAGGCTGGAAAAGGAAGTGGTAATAAAAACAAAAAGCTCGAGGAACATCCTGTGACTATTAAGTTTAATTGGTAACAGGTCAGTTTATTAATGGGTGTACAAAGAGCATCTTAGAGAGGCCGAGTTTCTCAGAAGTAAAGATGGGCAGAGGTTCACCAATCTGCAAAAAACTGTCTACAAATTATGGAAAAATGTCAGAATAATGTTTTTCAGTGAAGCGAATCTGGAGAAATCTCTCTGATAAGGTGGAAAACACTGGATTTTCTTAATCTTCATCTTGATCTTCAAGTCATCAGGCAGCGTTGCATTACAAACATGATTCTGGGATGGAGATCAGTGCAGAGGCTCAGGAACACGTCTGTAAATCACTGCCTGCACCCACACATGCAGGTGAAAGCTCCATCATGCAGAGGTCATATGAGAATATGATACAGAGATGCTGCCATCTTCTCTGGATCAAACTTCATTTAAACTGGATGGAGGCTCTAGGAGTATGCTGAGCAACTAGAATCCTTTTATGAGACAAGGATGGGACAACATTCCTCTCCCAGAAGTCCAGCAGCTGCTCTCCTCAGCTCCCAGACATTTACAGAGTAAAAGAGGAACAGATGCTACTTAGTGGGAAACGTGGCCCTGTCCCAACATTTCTTGAAATGGTACTTTTTATTTTTAGTTTAAACACTTGATATGTTTTCTGTGTTCTATTGTGCAGATCATTCCATTTATTTATTTATATTTCATGCAGTGTCCCAACTTTTTTGAATTTGGGGTTGGCTGTAGTGAATGTGAGACTGTTATTATTGTTATTATCATCATATATCTATTTATATTATTACATATCCAATTCCTTTGATCTACAGAGTTCTAACGCTGCACCATAAAGGCAGTGACATTTTCCTTTATCACTCTGACCCACAAACGTCATCCTGCTGCAGGAAGAGCGTGCCACAGCTCTAAATATAATCACGGGACTAATGGATGCCGAAAGAAAATTCCCTCTCAGATGCATTACTGCCTTCAACACATTGACCAAGAATGAATTCCAAACTATTTTACATATTTGTGATGTGCTTTTACAGACTTTCATCTCCAGTATAGAGCCAAAGAGCTGTACAGAGATTATTGTGAAATGCTTTTCTTTCATTAAAAAACCAAAAAACCAAAAAACGAGGATTATGTTTTGAGAAAATTTTAAAATATTTTTTCTGTGCAGAAAAAAAGGTTTTATACATGAAAAAACCATCTAGAGTTGGGTTTCCCTGCCAATGAACAATGACATACCTTTGAATTTGCCAAAGACACTCTTCTCCTCCACCGTCTCTCCCTGTCTCTTCTTCATGCTCATGTGGAAGTGGTTCAGCATGACCGTCTGGAAGATCAGGATCTTCACACTCTGAACAAACCTCGGCTGTTTCTTCCTCACAAACTCCACCACTGCATCCACCATGGCATCAGCCACCGCTGAAGGGCTGACCCCTCCCTGACCTGACAGGCAGACAAGGATGATGATGGTGATGATGAAAGGATGGAAAGAGGATGAAGAGTACACTTTGTAAAACTCAGCACAGCAACAATCTCACACACGTCACCAAAAAACCAATGCTTCATGGCAGAGGTGTCCAGCTCCAGGCCTTGAGGGCCGGTGTCCTGCAGGTTTGAGATGTGTCCTTGATCCAACGCAGCTGATTTAAATGGTTAATCTATGGTTTAACTCATAAATCCCTCCATAAATTGCAGTTAGTTCAAAACACAGCTGCTCGTATTATTTCCAGAACTAGATCCACTGAACATATAACACCTGTTCTTAAACAGCTCCACTGCCTCCCAGTTCACCTCCGTGTCAATTTCAAGATCCTGCTTCTCACTTTCAAAGCGCTTCATAACCTCGCTCCTCCATATCTATTCGATCTTCTCCACACATACTCGCCCCTTCGTACACTCTGCTCTTCTTCAGCTTCCCTTCTGTCTGTTCCACCTGCTCGACTGACTACCGTGGGACTCAGAGCCTCTAGTTGTTCTGCTGGACTTTCTTGGATGCCCTGAAGCCTTCTTAACAAGAATTGAACCTCTTTCCTTGAAGTTCTTGATGATCCTATAAATTGTTGATTTAGGTGCAGTCTTAGTAGCCACAATATCCTTGCCTGTGAAGCCATTTTTATGCAACACAGTGATGGCTGCACGCGTTCCTTTGGAGGTCACCATGGTTAACAATGGAAGAACAATGATTTCAAGCATCACCCTCCTCTTAACATGTCAGGTCTGCCATTCTAACCCAATCAGCCTGACATAATGATCTCCAGCCTCGTGCTCGTCAACATTCTCACCTGAGTTAACAAGACGATTACTGACATGATCTCAGCAGGTCCTTTAATGACAGCGATGAAATGCAGTGCAAAGGTTTTTTTTTGGGATTAAGTTAATTTTCATGGCAAAGAAGGACGATGCAGTTCATCTGATCACTCCTCATAACATTCTGGATTATATGCAAATTGCTATTATAAAAACTTAAGCAGCAACTTTTCCAATTTCCAATCTTTATGTGATTCTCACAACCTTTGGCCACGACTGTAGAAGGGTTAGTTAGTGTGTCTCAGCTCTGCATTAAAGACATCTGTTGTGACACAAACCCTGTTCAGACTTTAGCTTTGTAAGAGTGGTGTGATTCACCACCCATACTGATGGTTTATGGAACCGTCCATGAACCATCAGCTGTTTGCACAGTGAATCAGTGAACTGAGTATAAAGTTTGTACAGACCTGTTCCCAGGGCTGGGAAGGCCACAGAGCTGAACTTGTTCTCGTCACAGACCTTCAGCACCGAGTAAACCATGTCTTTAATGTTTTCAGGGTCGTTCTGGCCGATGATGTGAATGATGTTCCCGCTGGGCAGCTGCCCTGCTGATGTCAGGATCATTGCACGAGGCTGAGCCAATGAACTCACTGCAGAGAGGAAACACACAACACTTATAACACAAAGGGCCAGATTTACTCAGAACAGTCTATGAGCACAATGCACAAATAGCGTTCATAGGTGTGATTACTTTAATGAGGATTTACAAACGTTGCACAGTTTTCTAAACACGACGCGCAGTCGGCTCATTTCAGTGTGACAATATACCAAGAGCCAAGCAATTCAGTGCAAGGTCGTAATCTCAGAGATGATATTCTGTTGTGAGTAACCACTTATCAGGACAGCCACAGCTTGTTAATTTTAATCAGAAAAGCAAATCAGTATAGGTCATACATGGTAAATGTAGGCCTATGGTGGCAGTCTGGCAGAGCGAGCTGTTATAAAGAAAACAGATTTTGGTAAATGGCAGGCTCCGATGTAGGACAGCAAGGCCTTTGACGATATTTTGAAATCACTGTAATATTCTTCTATCCTCTGTAACTGGTGGTGTTAACAGAACCAACACAGTTTTTCTCTCCTTGATTCGTTTAGTTTTAGTTTTAGTGTGTGTGAGTAATCGATTATTCACAGGCGCTGTTAAAGTGAACGTAGAAGCCACAGTATGTTTAAAGACCTGGAAAAACTTTTATTGTCGCTGGTTTTGCACGACTATTTTAGGTTCGAGGTTTCAAGTCGTCTCTGAGTTCACTGAACTTAGAGCTTAGAGGTCAGTAATATACGGTGCATGTTTTTGTCACATCTTTGTCTAGCGTTACAAATAATTAGCATAAGTAGAAAATTGTCTCACTTATCTAGCTTGTGATCTTAAATATCAAATCGTATTATGTGATGAAAAGTGAAAACAGTGGGAAAGATCCAGGCTTCGCTAAAAACTTGGGGCTATATGAAATATAAAAGAAATCATTTAATGAATTATGTTCAGGGTTGTGAGGAGATCGAGTCTGTCCCTCTGTGGAAATAAATATCAACACATCGTCAGTTAGAACTGCTCAACTGTATGAATTTGAAGCACAGAGGTACTGAGGGAACTGATTATTGTCGTTCCATGTACACACCAATCTGAGCACACTCCAGCTCAACTGCTATTCCAGCGCCTTCCAAGATCGCCCTGGAGACTCCTGCGGAACAATAAGAGGTCCAGTCAGACGTTACACTGTCAGAGAATTAAATACAGACCACAAAAAATACATTTTCAAAATACTTTCGATACATGCAGCTGTGGTTACTCAGCTGTAGAGATAAATATACTGATACATATAACAAACGAGGATATTTTTGTTTTTTTAGCATAAGCACTGAGAAACAAACACTGACCTGCTTTAAGGTTAAAGGTTTTATTCGAGGAGTTGACAATGACATCACTCGTGTCTTTGGTGATGTCACCAGATGACACCTCAAGGGTGAGCTGACCCATCTGCATCTGGTACACACCGAGGGAGGTGGACAGGACTGGACCGAAGGAGGCTAAGACACACACACACACACACACACACACACACACACACACACACACACACACACACACACACACACACACACACACACCATTTTTATGTAACTTGGCCTTTTCTCTTTTATCTATTGTGGATAGATGACCTATTAAAACTGCTTCTGTGTCAAGTTATGTCTAGACAACACCAGTTCATACCTTAGGTGCCTTTTTTATGCCTGAATAATTTATAGGGCAAAAAGAAAAAAATGATGAGGTTCAAGGACTAGACTGAAAATGTGACCACTTTAAAAATTACCACAAAGACTCTTTGGAAGCAAATCTAAAGAAAGATTTTTGAGCAGTTCTTTATCACCAACGGTCACATCAGGGCTGTTAGATCTTTATAAAACAGTGACTACCATCAGTTTGATCTGGATGAACTTTAAATGAGTTCAATTCAGTGCTTTAAGCCTAAATACTCAGTAAATCATGTATTAGAGAAGGCTTCTGCTTGAGTTTTTTGTGCTCTCTTAGCACTTCTGAAGGCTCTTACCTGAGGAGTGTTGTGATTGGCTGGCGGATTGATGAGCTGGTAACTTGCCTGGTAACTCACTAAAATCACGTGCTTCATGCTGCATGTTCCTTGCAGCACCCTGACCAGTGAACTCCCTGGAGAAACACTGACAAAGAATATTTATAAGACTATTTAGTATCAATCTCTGTCTAGTTTTTATTTTTTTGTTATTTTTGCACTGCCTAGTTTTTGCTAAAGCAGAATGAAACAGTGTTGACCATGTAAAAAAGAAAAAAAGGAGCTAACACATCAAATTCAACTAATGTCACTAGAAACAAACTGTGTTGCCTGAAATACAACCTGGGTGTATATTGTTGTATTTGTTAACACAAAATGATTAAATTACCAATTTGGATAACACATTTATTTTATTTCTTGCTGGTGTTAAATGAATACTAAACTTGCTGATCCAAACTTTGTTGTTGTTGTTTTTTTGTCTGGACATAAAGCAAAGCATCACCTGTCATGTGTTATTAATGCAACTCACTCTACATTCTTTACTGTTTGGGGCAATACTCATAAATGCTCACTAACATCATGCAAAAAAGGGCTATAAGGGTAATCCATGATACAGGTCACGGAGATTATACAAATACCCTGTTCTTAAAATCAAAAACACTAAAATTCACTGATCTGGTTCATTTTCACCACAAATTATGTATAAAACAAAAAAGAACCTACTTCCTGACAAAATTCTGAAAGCTGTCTTCTAAAACAAATGTTGGAAACAACTTCGTGGGAGAATCACATTTAAAACATCCTATATTTGTACAACATTAAAAAGATTATTATAGTATTTAGTGATAATTATTAGTACAAATAGAAGAAAGGAGTGGGATTAGACACGTGTATGCTTCTTCCTACTCCTTTTTGAACATGTTATTTATTAGGATTATTCTGTTTTCCTTGTGCTTTGTTTTGATTGGTTGTGTTTTTTCTTTTGTTGTTGAATTATTTTAACATGTTCAAAATAAAGCCACACAATGACAATGACAACTTGTTTGCACTGCAGTGTATTTTTGCTTTAATTACCATTTTTCCCTCTCAGCCCTGTGTTAGATCTGTAAGTCCATATGAACACGGAGTGAAGTGGAGTATTTCTTGCAGCAAAAGAGAATTTTCCAATGAAACAAGTCTTTAACTTGGGAATATACTTGTTTCATATGATTGTCTCAGGAAGTTGAAGACAAACTTTGGAACAAATCTTTGCACCTGACAGTGTAGGTCAGGTCTCACCGTGTCACACATCAGTGTCTGTGTGTTACTCTGTGCTTTCACTCACTAACAGGGTGGGTTTGCTCGTCTCTAGTGCTCACTGTCAGAACATGATAAGCACTTAAACAGCTCCTATCAGAGGCACAAACTCACATCCACGGTTTGGCTGTCACTGGGGTGAACGACGATGACCACCTCTCTCAGACAGCGAGGGTTTCTGCTGCTGCTGTACGAGCGGATCTCCCTCAGCAGGAGTTTGGACACCAGGGCTCTGGGGAAGCTCAGGTGTCCTGTCCCGATGGCTGGGAAGGACAACGATGCCATCTGACGTTTCTCAGCCTCCACCAGACAGTATCTGATGATGGACGTTAACTCCTGACAGAGATAAGACATAAAGTGAAGCTGGACTTCAGTGATATCATAACAAGCTTAATATGCTGTATTACCACACAAATGGTATCAGACATGATGAATGTGGAGCAGAAAAGGACTGTGGTGATCTGAGGCCTTCATATAGACGACCTCTCCTGTAACTTCGTTCAGCTTCTCTGTATTCTGTCTGAAGTACTGTGACTGTTTTCTGTCTCGATGTTTGCTATTTGTCCAAAAAGGTCCCATGTTTATCTCTTTATTATTCAATTAAAAAGAAACATTTCTTCTGAAACATGTAAGTGAGCCTTACAGTTCATTGACTTTTCTTTGTTTAAATGAGGTTAAATCATCCACATTCATTACTACAGATTCAGCCGTCACTGGACCCACATTAATTGTCTAACCTTCAATAAGAAGCCTCACCTCCTCTGCCTGGCCGCCTCCGTTGTCCCAGGATGGACAAACAGCATGAAAGACTTTGAGACATGTGAGGTTGTAGCTGTCAGTGACGACGACTTCCCCGTCTTGCAGTGTGTCCCTTCTGGCTTCAGAGTAGATGGCGTCCTGCAGACTGCTTCCAGCTGCTGACAGGATGGCTTTGGACACAGCTCCCTGCCTCAGGTTCATGTCCTCTGAGATGGTGTTGACGATGACGTCAGTCTGTGGAACAAAAGCAAAATGGCACAAAGCTTAGGCTTGAACAATCAACGGTTCACGCAAAAATACAAAAACATTTTATGATTTTCATTTTTAAAACCAAATGGCCGAGGAACTAAATGTCTGCACAGTGTGGCAGACGATACCAAACTGCTTACAGCAAAGCAGGCGTCTGCTCAGGCTGGCCGGATTCGATTTTGTAAAAGTTAAAACAGCAAAAACAACCCCGAGCCAAATATTCAGCCCCAGAGTAAAGGTTTCCCCTTTGATATTTCACATTAAATGATAACAATTCTTCACAGATGTATGGTAGGAACAGTGTAACACAGACTGTTATAACTATACTTTTTGTTTTAACCTAAATCTTAAACATGTGAATTACTGCAAATTGTATTCTGGTTAATGGGTTTGAGATTTTGTATTTTAACGTCTTTTGTGATGTAAACTGTTGTGGTTCTGCTGTGTGGCAGACAGGATGAGGACCCAAACTGAGGACACAAAAGGTAAACTCAAAGCAGCAGCTTTATTCGCTAAAAAAAACTCAAAGACTCAATAGAAGAACCAAAACATGAAACTAGAAGCTAGGACACTAAGACTCAGAATATGTGAGTCGAGGGAAATAGAAACAAAGGGACTTGGAACTGACAGGAAGTAACAATGGGACTCAGGAGCATAGAGAAAACACACAGCAGTGTAAGGGCACGACACAACAACGCACGGAGGAAAACACAGGGCTTAAATACACCAGGAAGTAATGAGGGAAAGGAAACAGGAGGGAAGCACAGCTGGGGCTAAGCTGACATAAGGAGACAAAAGAAGAAAAGCAAAATACACTGACATAGGACACAGACTTTCAAAGTAAAACAGGAAATACACGAACGCAGAGGCAAGGATGACAAGGAAGACACAGAGAACATCAAGACCTGTAATGTGGGACAGGAAGGCAAAGAGTAGACATAACAAGGAACACAGGGGAGGCACGTAAACAAAACCTAAAGACTAGAAATCAGGAAATACTAAAGAACTTACGGAGCTAAAATACACAACAGAAACCAAGAGACTAGCAATGATAAATCATGATGAAATCAAAGATTAATAACAACACGAAACCCTGGGTCACCGATCCAGGACCATGACGTAAGCAAGGCGAATGTCTCGGCCATTAACGGGTGCGTTTTGGATCTGATCAGTTTTAGCAGACTGAAATGTTTGCATTGCACTTCTGCTCATCAGGTCAGGTTTGTTTTTTTTAGCTCGGTGGAGATGTTGGCATCGGGAACCAGAGACTGTTAAACCGAGATGACTAAACACCCAAAGCAGAAATGAGCTTCGTTCCTGTTGGATGAACTCATATTCCAGAGATAATTAAAGCGATTCACACTTCTGTACTGTGATGAAACTAAACCATCTCTGTTACTGTGACACACAGAGGGCTGACGCCAAACTGTGAATGTAAATAGTGATCTGATTCTGTGTTTTCAGCATCGTAATTCTCTCTCTCTCTTTGTTTCTTTTTGCTGTTGTATCAGTAACTCGTAAAGATAGTACTCAATATTTTATTTAGGGGTATCAGAGTAAAGGTAAATATAAATGCACGCCACACTTTTCAGATTTCTATTCATAAAAACACCAGGTATAAACACTTCACAATTATGTGCTACTTTGATTGACCAATCTCACAAAAATAGAAATAAAATACATTTATGTTTGGGGCTGAAATGTGACAAAATGTGGAAAAGTTGTGAAGAGTTGTGAATACATTTTCAAGGCACTGTGTTTATCCTAGTAATCTGCAAAGTTTGAGAAGTAAAGACTAATAAAAAGACGTGTGATAAGCAAAGGAATGTGAGTGGTCAGATAGGGGTCAACAGAGAGTGATCAACAAAGGACAAAACTATAAAGATTTTCTACAAATTGTAATAATCTAGAATTCACCTTTAATCTTGGTTTTTCTGTGTATGTGATCTAATTCTATGTTCTCATGTTATAATTAGCTCTAAACCAGCAGTTTACAGAATCCTCTCAGTCGTGATCCAAACAGCACCACAGGTACTCACAGTCTGGTCCTCAATGTTTCCCCTGCACAGAATGATCTTCAATCCCTCAGCTGTGGTCTGCTCCAACCTACACCCAATCAGATAACAGCACTGATGACATCACACTCTGGCAGAGTTTTATACAACCAAAGAAAAGAAGATGAGGAACCTTACCCTCCGTGCTCTCCGTGGCTGGTGTGTTGCTTGGGACTTTGGCTTCCCCTGTTACCCTGATGATTTCCCCAAGATTCACCTCTTCCTCCTCGTCCTCCTCCTCGTCCTCCTCCTCTTCCTCCTGTTTCAGACCAACTGGCACCATGTGACTGGCTCTGACCTCGTTTGCCTCGACCTCGGTGATATCCACTGAGAAACAATTTTAAAATTTTTAAGTTCACTTTGTTTTAATAAAATGGCGGACATTCAACTTACATGCTGCATGTAAGTTTCTTTGCAAGCACAAACCCTGTGTAAACTATCTTGGTATCAAAATAAAGCTAACACTTCATCAGAAGTTTAAATATTACAGTAGATGTTGCTGAAACACAGAAAAAGTAAGTTAATTTTTTTCCTCGTCTATTTTATTTTTGGATTTTATCATATAACCAATGTTGAGTTGCATGCAGTAAAAGTTCATTATTAAAAAACTTTAACATTACCCTGAAGCTCCTGTTCGTTTCCCGCCTGCTTGCTGTGGGATGGTCATTGTAGGTCTGAGGTCTGAGAACTCCTTGCTCACAGCTGTAGCCATGACTCTGACGGTGCTATCATTGTTGTCCACCAGGTGAATCTCAGTTAATGATCTCAGACCTTGTGGGCTGTCACAGTGCTCCCGAACTGCCTGGGCTATGGTCTCAGCACAGAGGTCAACAGGGAAACCAAAGATGCCCGAGCTGATCGCTGGCAGTGCAACGCTGGAGCAGTTGGCCATCTCTGCTTGTCTCAGACTTTCTCTAACTGCAGTCTTCAGGCGTGACACTGATGTCTTCCTGTCAAAGTCAGAGAATCGTGGACCAACTGCATGGACAACATGTTTGCAAGGCAGGTTATATGCATCTGTTATGATGGCGTCACCAGGACGTAGACGTCCATTTTTAGCGACGTAGTCGCTGCTTTCTCTCTGCAGCTGTGGTCCTGCAGCCCTTAGCAGTGCCAAAGCCAGGCCACCAATGTGGTCTAAGTCCTCATTAGCTGCATTGACCACAGCGTCCACACCAAAGCTGCAGATGTCCACCTTACTGACAGAAATCAGTACTCCACTGTTGGTCTGCACTCTGCACAGGGTAGTTTCTCCTCCATAATTCTCTACTTCCTCTTCTTCTTCCTCTTCAATCTCTGGACGAAGGAGAATAACACATCTTAACTCATTCATTATTGTAGGCAGGAAAATGCTTCCTTGGGTTTGGAAATATTTCTTTGCTCCGGGCTTGTCCACAGTTAAGGTGTCAGTGAAGAGAGCACTGGCCAGTTCCATAAAGCAGGATTTGGCTTTCTGGACATGAAGACGAGCTCCAGCAAAGCTGATTCTTGGCCTCTCTACATGAAAACTTACTGAAACATTATTATCTTTGGCAATACTGGACCATTCCTCTGTTCTTTTCTTTTCAATAAACTGAACAGCAGCACAGGATTGGACACGAATGGTTTCTTGAACTCGTGAGTAGTTCTCAACAAATACCCTCAGACTCTGGCTGACCTCTATCACTGGATTCACAAAACCAGCCACTGTTATTTTTCTCTCTGGGTGCATCTGAATGGCCACAGTTTTTTTCTTCGATAAGTTGTAGGTATCCAGCAGGTTTTGTTTCAGGTCCATCCAGGTAGGGAGTTTTAGAACTTCCGGATCTTCCACATTTACAATCTGATGAGCCAAAGCAGCCTTCATCTTACTTTCCGCATCAGCAAGGATTCTGTCAGAACTCCCCAACAGGAGAAGCCCTTTGTTGTCGATGGTGTAGACTGCACTGATGCCTTGAGATGTGAACAGATCCTGGGACAAGTCCATGGGATCCAATGTTCTGAGAAAGTCTAGAAGACATGGGGGGACATTCTGTTGTTTCTTACTCATATTCACATTCCTCTCCAAGATCCATGACTTAGTCTCGAAGACCTCTGCACTGAGTCCTGTAATGGTTAACTTCTGGGTGCCTTCATCATAAGAGAGTTTCATCTCAGGAGAAATGTCCAGAGCAGCTTTCTGGAGCCCCTCCAGCTTCAGGATGTAGAACCATGCAGGGGGCAAAATCATTTCCTCAGAGATGCTCTTTGTCTGCCGTTCAATGTGACTCATGGCTTTCAGAAGAATCTTCTCCACAGGAGCCCTGATTCGTTTCATATCATCAGCTCGGCCAGCAACAGTCAGAACCCCTTTGGATGCATCCAGCACCAGGATGGCATCTTCCTTCACAACTGAACGGACATCTTTCTCTGCAGCTCTCCATCCCGGTGTATTTGCTTGACATTCGAATGCCATGTACTGAGACATCAGGCAACGGAAGGCATCTTGGACCTTACTCATCCAGTTTTCTACATGTTCTGCAGTCAGACCTTGCTGCCTCAAAAACTCTGGCACAGGGCTGAGTTTCACTTCAGGGTCATTCAAATCCACTCTGCAGAAGTGTGGACGCATCTGATCATTGATGTGTTCTGATAGTTTCTTCTCCACAAGGAATTTCCAGATAATGTGGAGAACAGGCTCTGTGAAGGGCTCGGGCATCTTCCATGTTGGGCGTTCTTTGCTGTACAAGGCGGTTCCCAGTGACTCGTAGTATGGATATGCCTTCACTGTGATAGATTTCATCTCGAGGTCTTTCTTTACACAAATCTTTTCCACAACTGCAGCAAACAAGGAGCAGAGAAGCAAAGGTTAGATAAGTGGTGTTAAGGTTTTTTTTTAATGTTTCTATAAAGATTTATCCAAGTCACAAGGGGTTTTGAACCTTTTTTTATCTGACATAACTCCACAGACATAAAACATTCTTCTATAATTCCTTTCATATTCAAATTATTTCATCCATCTATCCATTCGCTTCCGCTTATCCTTTCCAAGGTTGCGGGGGGCACTGGAGCCTATCCCAGCTGTCATAGGGTGAGAGGCGGGGTACACCCTGGACAGGTCGCCAGAACACTAACACATAGACGCACATAGACTCACGTTCACTCACAGATTCACACCTATGGGCAATTTAGAGTAATCAATTAACCTATCCGTCAGTCTGCCCCAGGGCAGCTGTGGTTACAACTGTAGCTTG